CAAAAAATAAAAAGAGAATAAGGAGAGGAAGACAACTTAAGTTGAGCCCCAAGCCTAGCACCAGAGTCGGTAGCCAATTTAGAACCGTACTTGGTGCTTTGACTTTTTCAAGTCCTTCATAGTCCATTGGGTAGGAGCGATCAGTATCAAGGGGATCAGGGCACGAGGATATCGGGATTAGGATTTAAAGATGTCAGGATCAAGGCTTGGGCTTAGGTTTTTCGGGATCCAAGGGTAGAGTGACGTGTGTGGCAAAGTTTCAATTAGGGTTCAAAGTCTTTAGCATGGGGTCCAAAATCAGAGGCCAAGGGTCCTATATATAAACAAAAATCCCTTTCCCTTCAACGATGTCAAAAGGTTGGATCTAATATGGGTCGTCGATTTGCAGCACCACTAGTGCCAATGTAGTTATTGGCATTGACAACGCCGCGGCTTTAGTGCCATTTAATCATTATGACATGTGTAACATGCTCCCACTCATTAGTGAAAACACTGTTCTGTTGAGCGGCTTGTGATTGGGGTCACTGAGTGGCGTCGAGGCCACCATTGACGCCAGCATGGGCGCCACATTCATAGTGGTGTACAATGTTGATGGTTTGGGCATGCCTTTCCTGAGCGTTGCTACTGTAAACACGGGCATGGGTATTGCCAATGCTAGCCTTAATTATTTCGTTTTCAATAATTAGTCTTTGCCCATTTAATAAAATAAGTGTTTCACATGTGCAAGAGGCTGTCTCTTCTAGGCATTGCCATCCCTGATGCCAAGTTGGTACTACCGACACCATCCTTAATCATTTATTTTTCAAAATTGTCTTGCCCTATTTAATGGTTTCACTATTGCACACATGTAGTGGTTGCCTTTACTCAGTGTTGTCACCCCTGACGCTGGTATTGATACTATTGACACCAAGCCTAATCATTCATTTTTTAATGTCCAATTCTTGGCATTAGCGATACTAATGTTGGCGTGGGTACCATCGACATTGTGTTGACGTGAGGATTCGGGTATTGTTTTTCAATGGGTCTTTAGGCCAGTGGCTCGGGGCCAATGATTTTGGGGCCCTATTGCTGACAACGTCGCTACCCCTGACTTGGGTGCTGGCGGCTCTGATGCTAAGGAATGGCTTCCTTGTTGTGGTGTTGGTGGTCTGGATGTGGACATCGATGGTGTTAGCACTGGTGACCAAAATGTCATTTTTGTAAACAAATTTCCCCTAGCCATAACTTCAAACCAAATATCGTATTTAGACCATTCTTGTGCCATTGGAAAGCTTATGACCTCTACTTTAATTTGAAATTGAATTTGGATCCAAAAGGTTGATTCTTGACGGGTCTATGAGGCTCGAACTCCAATGGGTGGGGTTTGGGGTGGTGGTTGTTGCTACCGGTGGCACCGCAATGGTCACTAGCAATGTCATGCTGGGTCGTTGTTGCTACCTCTGACTTGGACGTTGGCACCTCCAAATGTCGCAGTTGTTCTTGCCTTGCTCAATATTTTGGTCATTTTTTTTGTCATTGCCACCACAAACGCCGACGTTAGTACCACCAACTTCATCCTCCAAAGGCCCTGTCTTCTAGTGGCCAATTTCTTGGAACCAATCATTGCAAGGGAAAGAGGCCGGCGTTGCCACCCTTCACTTGAGCGTTGCTGGCAGAGAATGGGACTCTTTTGGCACGACAGTGCTGGTCCCATATTTGGTATTTGTCATGCCAACGTTAGGGACCAAACCGTTATTTTTGGAGAAAAATTTATTTTAGGCCATAACTGCCAAATCGTATTATTATAATTCCAGTGATTCTTGAGCGGTTGGAGATCTTATGACATCTACTTCAATTTGGGACTTGATACGAACTTGAGTGATAGATTTTCGAAGTGTCTACGGGGCTTGGAGTTTTAGGTGTTTGTTCTCCGGGTTCTGGGTGTTAGCGTTGTGTACGGACTGTTTTCTAAGGTGCTTGGTGCTCCTAAGGTTTATGTCTTAGGGACATGGTGGTGTTGAGATTTTCTATGGTCTCAGGATCTTCGGTTTCTTGAAATTCCCTCTCGGGAACAGGATGTTTAAAGAGAGATCTAGGTTTGTAGGTTGGGTTGGAAGAGAGAGAGAGAAATCTAAGTTTGTGGGTTAGAGAGAAAAGAGGAGAGACGTAGGTTTGTGTTTAACATATAGAGTCTTTTCTTCTTTTGCGTGAGAGAAAAATTTTTTTGGGCTGTATTTAGTGTTTGAAAATCTAGATTGGCTGGACAAAAGCGATCATCTCGTTAGCAGATATGGATTGACGTTCGTCTCGTACAATTATCAAAAAGGGAAAAGTTTTAATAAGGCTGCAATCTTAAAATGTAGAATAACAGATGCACCTCAAAAATCTATCGGAAATGTTGTTTTAATGTTGAAAAAACCCTTTAATCGATCATCTCGACATCGAGATGTATGAATATGGAAAAAAAAAGTTTTTGAGTCGCGAAAATAGTGCATCTTGCAACACATTATCTAGACCGTCCATATTCAATATTTTCTTATATTTATAGATCTACTTGATTTTAACCATTTTTTAATTTTAAAATTTTCTAATTAGGTATGAAAATAGATTTTAAGATAATACTAAAACTTTTTTACAACAAAATTACATGTTATGATAAAATTTTAAGATGCACTTTAATTGGATTGTTTAAGATTGCAACCTTATAGAAACCGCACCCTTGTCAAAAAATTATATTGTCATCATGTATCAATATACAGATTTGAAAATTCAAGTTATTTCATGAAATGATACGTGTTTATTGAGCTCCCCGACTATGACAAGCTTGCCACGCTGCTCCAATAGAAAAAAACAATAAGCAAATCTAGTATGGATCATGCATGGATAATAGTTGGGAGTTGCCTCATAGAAAAATCATGCTCATTTAGCTAACCCAAATATTTTGCACTAGTCACTAAATTCGGTGGCTATCAAAATGGAAAATCTTTTTATTCTAATGTTATTGTCATTCAATTAAATATAATAAATCATTTACAATAACAATACTAATTATAGTTGTATTATTTATAATTATGATAATTATAATGTCTTATCAAGATTTTATCCAAATAATAAGCTATTATGTTAAGGTGTGGTTTGCATAAGGTTGCTACCTTAAACAACCCAATTAAGATGCACCTCTAAATTTTATAATAAACAAAATTTTGATATATAAAATTCTTAGGATGGATTGAGAATCTTTTTTTTTTTTCCTTAAGTATAAATATTTAAACTCTAAAAATAGTTCAAATTAAGTAGATCTATAAACACATAAAAATCTTGAAAATAGACTTTTTCGATAATGTGCTGCAAGATACACTATTTCGTAAACTGTAAATCCTTTTTGTCTTTTCATATTCATACATCTTGATCTTTATGATCAATTAGAGGGTTTTCCAACATGCAAACAACCTTTTAAGATTGATTTTGAGGTACATCTTTAATTCTACATTTTAAGGTTGCAACCTTATACAATTTTTTTCCATTATGTTATATAGCGACAATTATATAAACTTATATGATATTAATATGACTCATCGATAATACTTGTGGTTTTTGTAAATATTACAAAGCATCATTTGCAAAAATATTCTCAAGAAAATGCAACCTCTCCATAGCAAACTTACTAACAAAATACTACTTTTCAGAAAAATAAAATTCAATAGAAAAATGGATCAATAGGATAAAATTAACTAAACGCATTCTAAATACAATACAATGCAATTTTTTTTAAAACGTTTAGTACCATATTATAAAAAAAATGATTTTTTAAAAAACCCCAGATTTTTCTTAAATAAATAATATATATACCTGTTGCTAACACAATTTGAACCTTTATAGATCAATATCTCCCAGGAAATCATTAAAAAAACCTAAATTCAAAAGAAATTTTATAAAAATTTATTATTGGATGCCAATATAGCGTAAATATCTCAATTTGTTCTGTCGAAATGAATTAATGTTGTGGCTTAATATAGCGTAAAGCTCAATTATTTCAGGCTTAAAATAATAACAATCAACAAAAATTTATAGCATAAAGCTATTAATGCAAAAGGAAAAAAAAGAAGAAGCATACGATAATATATTGTGTGGGAACCAGGTTGATATAAACGAGCGGTTTCAATAGAATCAGTCTAATTCTCAATTCTATTAAGAAACCATGTGAGCCTTGATTAATTCCTTGTCGAGATCGGAAATTTCCTATCTGAACTGTCGGGTGTCTGGTCACTGATATTATACGTATAAGAGATAGTAGAAAAAGAATTCTATCTTTTTTTCTTTTAAGAGTTGGGTATAAAAAAAAAGAGGTAGGCCAGTGCGGATTTAGGCCCTGTTCTTTGCAGAGAGTGGAGTCAAAGACTTCATCAAAAGGTTCGTTGGAGAGTTAGGTATTAATATCCAAACATAGATGTGAGTTAGGTATGACATATATGTTCGGAATATATGTTTAAGGAAAAGGTTTGTACAAATGTGCGTCAATTTTATATAGACTGTGAAGATTTGGTAGTCTTAAGGAAAATTGTTTCGTGGGGGTTGGACTGCATTTCTACACTATGTAGTCTAGCGGTACAAAGCATCCATCTTAAAGAATCGGCCAGCTCTATATGGAACTGTTTGATTACCGTTCAGACCGGGAATAATATTAGTTCCACCACTTGTAAAAAATAAAAAAAACGAGGAGGATTGTGGTGACTCTAGACTTCCTCAAACTGGAATAGCTTGACTCCTGACCCTGAACTCTTCGAACTATGCAAATTTCAAATTACTTCTTTCAAAAAAATAAATTTTTTTTTAAAGCCAAGCATATTTAATTTTTTTTTAAAAAAAACCAGACCCAGGTGGGCTTTGCTTGAAAAGCCTGTTGGCTGGCCTTCATGTGCCATGATTTTACTTACTATGCAAGAACTTAGGACAAATTGGCTTTTTCATGTACCAATGTACCTTACCTTCTTTCCACTGATCTCGAGTCTTTCTAGTTTCAGGCCCACTGCGCTTTAAGGTGGAGGAGTATAATGGAACTTTGCCAGCTCTTCAGTTCAATCCTTATTCTTGGACCAAGGTATGTTTGTTTGTTTGTTTCTGATAATTCCTTTTTTCATCTCATATCCCATGGGGTTTTTTCCATGTCTCGCGTGTTAACACGAGTCGAGCTTCGACATGTATCAAGCACTGAGTACATGTCATATTAGAAAAGAAAAAATTATCAAAATACTTGTAAGAGATGAATCACTTTAAGATTTTACCCTTTTGTAACTATTCCAATTCAGGTCTATGCGTTTGAATATGGATCTTTGAGAATAAGATGAGTATGTTACAAGTAGGAGATTCGAATTAGCCGAATCACCCGAGTTCTACCCATTTATTTTTTATTATTTTTTAAATTTTCAAATTACAAATTTCTCAAATCTAGATTTCTTTTTTTTGGGGCTGATTCTCACCATGAAGAATTGGTCCAAACTATCTAGGATCCATAATAGGGATTGGTCAAGTAGATGCCAATCCTACCTCCCGATCTGTTTTTTAAAACATTGCTCCCAATTATGTCTACAAGTGCATGAGCTTTAGAAGCAGGAGACATTACTACCTCACTCTAAAGGCTGTCAAGTTTGGGGTTATAGTTTGGCCTTTTCTTTTCGAAAGGAAATTTATCAAATAACTTTTGAGAGATGAACAATTTAACACTTCTGACAGAATTGGGTAAGTCTATCGCACTCGAACTCATTCATGATTCCTACTATGAAGTAGGTTGGTACCCATTAATTTTCGATCTGGATCGCTTATTCCTGATCCAAATCGCCAATCTTTTGAACTCTAATAGAAAACATTACCATATTTGTATAAAATGATGCTGAACATTAGCGCACAATGTTTGACCTCGAGACCCATCATTCGAATTACAGTAAGGAGCTATCACTACAAAGGTGAGTGGGAAGTATAATATGCACATTCTATTATACAAATATACTATTATTTAATATAAAATTATTTTATGTACTGATGTGTCTCGTCATGCCAATTTTGAGAGAAAAACTTAGGGTGGGGTTTATATGAGATTGAGATTGTAAAGAATCAAAGTAAGCGTAAAGATAATTTTTCCTGCAAAAATCTTTATCATGGTCTGAAAATATATTTTTATATCTAATTATTAAAGGGAAAAGTTTATATAGAGCTGAGGCTCTAAACAATAAAATTTGAGCCTACCTCATAAATTTCACTAGAAGAGGTTGTTTTCATTCTCAAATATCTTCAAATTGATCATCTCGACATAAAAATGCATAGAAATGAGAAAAAAATAGATTTTAAGTTTTGGAAATAGTGTATTTTGTAATGTATTTTTGAACCATCAATTTTCAAAATTTTCAAGTTTTCATAGATCTATCAATCTACACTATTTTTAAATCTATAATTTAAGGCTATCACAAAGATTTTCAATAGTAAAATCACATTTCTCGATGCTATTTGAAGGTAGGCTCTAATATGATTGATTAGAGCCGGGGCTCCATACAAACTACATCCATTATTAAATTATGTAGAATGAGCAGATTTATAAGACTTAAAAATATTAAAAATTGACCACCCAAATAATATATTACAAGATACACTATTTTTTCGATTAAAAATCCATTTTTTTCATATTCATAAATTTCAAGGTCAAGATGATCCATTAGAGGCCTCATCTAAGGAATTTTTAAGGTGCACCTTACTTTTTATTGCCTCAACACTATATAAACTTTTTAACAACGATATGTTAAGAGTCAACGAACACTGATTCATTTTCAGGTTGCTAACGTAATATATGTGGATTCACCTATTGGAACTGGCTTTTCATATTCCAAATCCCCTCCAGACTATGCCACCAGCGATTCCAAGACTGTCAAAGATCTCCATAAATTTTTGACCAATGTAAGTAACTCTACCGTCAACATTTATAACTACTTTTCCTCACTATATTATGATGACTGATAATATACAGTTTCGTCATGTGTACAACAGTGGTTCATTGAATACCCAGAATTCTTGTCAAACCCACTTTACATTGCAGGGGATTCCTACTCAGGAATAACAGTCCCAGTCTTAACTTATGAAATAGCCAATGGTACCCCAACATTACTCTCTCTCTCCCAAAGTTGTTTTTTAAAGCAGAAATGATGTGTCATGCTTGATTTCTTTGAGTGAGGTGTTGTTGCAGGCATTGATTCCGGTTATCGACCTGTTTTTAATCTCAAGGTTTGCAATCTCAAATGAGGAAATGACTTGTGATGAAAATATTGTATTCTTATGATATCAGAGGGTTTTTAATTCGTCAGTTATGCCTTTCAGGGTTACTTGGTGGGCAATCCAGTCACAGATGTTGAGTTTGATTCCCAGTTAGTTCCATTTGCTCATGGGATGGGCCTCATATCAGATGAATTGTTTGAGGTATTGGGGATTTTTTCATTCTTATTCTTATTTCAAGTTAAGCGGGTTTCACTGGCAGGTAATGTTGATTTGCTTTGCCATACATTTAAAAGAGACGCTTTACATGGGGCGCCACCTGTATATAAATTATATATGAGACATGTTCTAAGCCTTCTGATTTGAATGGACGTCTAAGATGACTTTAATCACAATGCCATAAGATAGCTCTTGAGTGTTAGATGTTATCCAATGGTTTAGGGTATTTTATTTTATTTTTTTAATCTTACCAACAATGTTGCACCAAATTTGGGATGTGAAAATTCTAATAGAGGTGCCACACATCATAAAAAAAAAAAGGAAAATAAGGTATTTATCGGTCATATGTACCGTTATTATGGAAATACTTCAAAGTTTCTATTATTACTCATATATCTGTTTTTTCAACTTCCTAACATATTTTTTTTAAGAAAAAGATGGAGCTACCCATTTTCGGTTTTTCAAAAACCAAAATCTTTTAAACTTTCTGTTTCAAAAGTCTAAAATTAAAATTTTCGGCTTTTCAAAATCTGAATATTTATAGTATAGTGCTTCCTACATAGTACACCTCTTTTCAAGAGGTCTTCCCTTCCATTCTATTGGGGGAACCCTCACAAGGCCAAACTTTATGCAGCCCCAAAAGACATTGTAACATATATATGCTTTAGATTTACATTGTAGCATATATGATTTAGATTTGAGATATTAGAATAAGAGTAATGATCCTATAGGACCCTCCCCCACCCATGTGTAGGACTTCAAAAGACCACCATTAAAGTTGGTAGAGATCTCTAGAAAAGTTATCAAGTGGGTGTGGAACTTGATTTTTCTAAAGATCCGTACCAACTTTAATGGTGATCTTTTGGAGGTCCTCCACATGGGTCGGAGAGGGTCAAGATCATTTCTCTTAGAATAATTAAAGTAAAAAAGGCCATCGTTTTACGGAGTTCAAAAAAAAAAATAGCCCTCATCATAATGGATGCCAATACATGTAAAAGAAGTCAACTATGTAGGACGCACTAACAAACACACCAATCTGCGGCTTACTAACTAGAAATTGTGCTTATACCCAACCCAATATTTTTTACCTGGTCCGCCACAATAAGGTGAGATCATGTCCTAAATTTTGCTTAAAAATCTTTTGTAGAAAGAAAAGTAAAAATCATTTGACATGACATCGTGAGAGAAAAATCCAAGCCGTAAATTCAGATCAGATGATGCGCGTGGCACCACATGTAAAGCTTTTCCATCTTTAAATGAGCTGGTGAATATATCTATAGGACTGCCAATAATCATCAACTCGAATTTAAATGCTATTGCAAGAAGGAAAATTTTGATGTTTTTTTTGGGAAATTTCTATTGATTATGTATAAAGAATTTGTTTGTCCAGGAAATAGCAATTTTATGTACAAGAATTATTGTATTTGCTGGTATCAATTTTAAGTGTATTCATCCAATATTGATTGCATTGAGTTTGGTCATGAGTTGTTGCATTATGTGCTACTGGTGCAGGTTCTTTGATGTCCACTTATTGATCTTATTCAGGGTTAATATTGATTGCATTGAGTTCGGTCATGAGTTGTTGCATTATGTGCTACTGGTGCTGGTTCTTTGATGTCATTAGTGATCCTATTCAGAGTGAATAATCTTAGATCAGTTGATGGTTACAAACTTTCCAATATGGAGCATCTAACTAATTGAATACATGGCAATTGATTTGGCTGGGAATCATATCTATGTATTACAATAGCTTTCTCTGGTTGGGATTCCGTCCCATGAGGAGGGACCCAACATCATTTGATAAGGGAATGACAGGCCCCCTCAATGGCATTAGTCCGTAGGGCTTTTCGGGAAGAGTTCTTAATGATTTGAAGGCCAAGATATCACCTAGAAGTCATAGACGAGCGAGAACGAGCGTCCAAATGGTGGATCTTTAAGTCGCCGGTTTGTAGACAGCCAGGTGAAGTGAGACTAGCATATATAGATAAGCAAGGTTGAACCTCCAAACAATGGATCTTTAAGACTGCTGGTACAGAGAAGAGACTTGACACACCGACTGTGAGTTTTATATACCTGGGAAGTTGTCCCATACTACAATGAAGTGAACTGAACCACTTGTGACTCATTGTTGGACCTCTAGTGCATCAGTGTGAATTGCCATTGAAGTCAAGTGTGGACTAGAAAGGAACTGCTGGTAATTGTAGACTATTGGTGTAGGAGGACTGTCGGTGGAACTGTGGAAGAATGCTTCCAGTGATTATCTGGTAGACCATCAATGGAAGACGTGTACCACCATGTGAGACTGTTGGTGTGCAACTGTCGGTGAAGAGAATGTATACCACTGCTGAGAGGAAAGACCGTCGATGCATCTTTAAATCGACAATAAAGACAAGTGAGTGGACCATCGGTGTCAGTGAACTAGACCGCTGAAGAATTCAGATAATACCATTTGTTTTGGTTGTTTATGTGGACTCCAGTATCGGGAGCAAGATGATTGTCCTTAGCAAGAGCAATTGGATCATAAGGAAATCAAAGATGGAAGATCTTCTATATTGTAAGGACTTGTATATGCCTTTTGAGGGGGGTAGAAACAAGCTTGAAGGCACATCTGATGAAGAGTGGCAATTAGACTGAAAAGCAATCTGAGCAATTTGACAATGGTTGGCAAAGGTTATTTTCCAATCCATCATGTGGAGTGAGATATCCCCCAAGTCACTATGGAACAAGCTACAAGATCTATGTGAGAGAAGACTATTAGGAATAAGGCTTCTTGATATGGAAGTTAATGAACTTGAAGTTCAGGGATGGAGTTTCTATTGTAAAGCACTTAAATGAGATGCAAAACAGCGCCAACCATCTTGCAATAATGAAAATGACTTTAGATGATAAGTTGCATGATCTGTTGTTGCTCAGTTCATTGTCAGACAGTTGGGAGACATTGGTGATCTCCCGGAGCATCTTAGCGCCAGAAGGAAAGGTGATCATGACTCACGTCAGAGGTCACTGGTAGTATGCCAAGGGAGGAGATAGGTAAAGGATCCTCCAACCATCCACTTCACAAGCTCTTGTCACAAATTGACGAAGGTCTAGGAGTAGAGACCAAAGTAATTGATCTAAACCCAAAACTAGATTGAAGTCTAGAAAGTGTTTTGAAAATAATATGAATGGGTGCATCAAGAAAGAGCATATGAAGCTCATAAGAGTGTAGAAAGAGAACAATACCAAGAATGGTGCAAGGAAACTGCTGCAGTGACCATTAAAGTAATGTAGGGGTAGTTGGAAACTATAGTGATTAGTGCATCAGTGTTTCATAGGCTTTGTACATTGATTGGGTTACAGATGTTGAAGCATTGTTTCATGTTATCCCACAGATATTGTTTTACTTCCTATAAGGCAGGAACTTTTGGTATTGTAAAGATGGGGAAAAATGGTTCCTCAAAGGTTGTGGGAAGAATAGATGTACACATCAAGACTAATATTAGGATGTTGCTAGTACTCAAAGATGTTAGGGATGTACTAAAATTTTGAGCTACATCTTAGGAAGATACTTGGATGACGAAAGGTACCACTCAATATTCAGTAAAAGATATTATAAGCTGACAAAGGGATATCTTGTGATGGCTAAAGGCAAGACCTGTTAATTTCACTCTATAGAACAATCTATGCATATCTCTAGTGGTAAGGTTGATGCTGCAATGGAAGAATCCTTGTTAGACCTGTGGCATAAGCATCTGGCCACCTGAGTGAAAAACGAATAGAGATCTTAGCAAAGAAGTAGATCTTTCCCAACATCTAGAATTTATCTCTAACCCACCATTGCTTGTTTTGTAAGTAACATAAACACTTTTTCACTAATAAGAGCTCTATAGTTGATATAGAAATCCTTGATACGGTGTATTTAGATATGTGCGGTCCCATGGAGGTGAAGTCTCTTGGTGGCACTTCATATTTTATAGATGATGCTTCATGGAAAGTGTGGGTGTACCTAATGAAATAATAAAATCAAGTGTATCAAGCATGAAATGAAGCACAAGATCACAATACCATATAACCCTTGTATAATGGTGTAGTAAAGAGAATGAATCAAACCATTATGGAGTCCCAAGCACGCTATATACCATCAAGTTATCAAACCATTATGGAGTTCAAAGCACGCTATATACCATCAAGTTATCAACCATACTAGGGTGAAATAGACCTCACAATAAGCTATCTTATAAGCAGATCCCTATCATTTCCTATGGATGATGATATATTCGAGAGAGTTTAGACTGGAAAAGACATATCATATTTACACTTGAAGTTGTTCAAGTGTAAGCCATTTGTGTACGTGCCCAAGGAACAGATATCCAGGTTGGATGAGAAATGACTCCTATGCATATTCTTGGGGTGCTCAATGAAGAGCTCTGTTACAAGCTATGGGACCTTGAGAACAAAAACATGATCAAGAGTAGAGGTGGTATTTCAGCAAGACATAACATTGAAGATGTGAATAATCCAAAAAACCAAAAATTTTCAATGATTTTACAGGATCGAGTCATAATTCCTCCTAACGTAATATATGATCGACATAGGGGAGAATTGCAAGAAGAGGATGAATCCCATGAGAGTGACATACCAGCTTTGGGTGCTATGGAGCAAGGGAAGCAACCTGTTGAGATTGAACTGAGAAGGTCCTCAAAACAATAAAAACCATCAAATAGGTACTCTGCATTAAAAAATGTCCTTCTAACTTATCAGCGGTGAACCAGAAAGCTACAAGAAAGCTCACCTTGATGAACACAAAGTAGGTTTGCTAAAAGATCAGTGAGATTGATTCCTTGCATAACAACCACATCTAAGAAATAATATAGTTGCCAAAAGGACAAAAAGAACTTAAGAACAAGTGGGTATTCAAACTAAAGACTGAAGAGAAGAACCGGGAACCAAGCTACTAGGGAAGAGTAGTTGTGAAAGGTTTCAAGAAGAACATGGCATCGATTTGATGAATATTTTTCCTGTGATGAAAGCGTTATTAGTTCGTGTGGTATTTGGTATGACCGCATGCTTGAATGTAGAAGTTAGGCAACTAGATGCAAGACTGCATTCTCCACTGTGATGAGGAAGAGATATATATCCAACTGCTAAAAAGATTCAAAGTATGCAGCTTCCAAAAAAAAAAAAGAATTCAAGGTATAAGATAAATAATACAATGCTTATAAGCTGAAGAAGAGTCTCTATGGTTTGAAAGAGGCCCCAAGTCAGTGGCACAAGAAGTTCAATTCCTTCTTGTAGAAATGTGGGTTCAAGATAACAACCTCAGAGCATTGTGTGTTCATTAAGAAATTTTTGATGTTGAATTTATTATCCTTTTGCTCTATATTTGATGATATGCTGGTTGTTGATAAAGACATCGACAAAATTTACAGATTGAAGCTAGAACTAAGGAAGTCCTTTTCCATGAAGGACTTATGATCAACTCAAAGAATCTTTGGCATGAAGCTTTCTCGTGGCAGAAAGGCTGGTGTCATAAGAAAGATACATTGAGAAAGAGCTCGGAAGTTTCAACATGAACTAGACAAAACCTTTCGATTCTCCACTTGGCGGTCACTTCAAGCAAAATGCTGAGTAGAGCACTTCAAGTGAGATAGAAAAGGAAAAAATGCATAAAGTTATGCATCGACCATCAGAAATTGATGTATGCTGTGGTGTTCACGAGGCCAGATATGACACATGCACTTGGTATGATGACTAGACACATGGCCAATCTTGGTAAGGAACATTGGACAATATTCAAGTGGATACTGAGATATCTCTAGGGGTCATCCAAAGCTTTCTTAAGCTTTTGGGAAGGAAAACCCATGCTACATGGATACGTAAATGCTGAAATAGCAGGAAATATTGACTCGAGAAAGTCAACCTTAGGATCATGGCTTTTGTAAGGGAGCTGTATCATGGCTCTGCAAATTGCAAGATGTGTGACCATGTTAATTACAAAGGCCAAATGCACTGCAATCACTGAAGCTTGCAGCAAAATGTTGTGGATGAAAAGATTCCTTAGTTAGGCTTGAAAGAGGATAGGTTATCGTTCCCTACGCAGTCAATGTACATTCCAATTGCGCAAGTATGCAAGCTTCCATTCAAGATCAAAGTGCATTGATGTGCGTTATCAATAGATTTGTGATTGCCTTGTGAAAACATTGTCATAGCTAGGGAAGATCCATACCGACAAGAATACATTGGATATGATGACAAAGATCTTAGCTAAGGAGAAATAGGAGCTGTGCAGAAACATGACTGCAAGGGCTTCCATTTAAGAACTAAGTTGATATGCAAGGCTGAATGCTCATCATGAGACTGAAAGGGGAATTTGTTTGGGTTCCCATCCCATGAGGAGTGGCCCCAACATCATTTCAAAAAGGAATGACAGATTTTTAGGAAGAGCTCTCAATGACTTAGATTCTAAGTTATTCATCACGATTCATGAAAAGTTGTGGCAAAGTTTTATGCTGGTTGTCTACCTACCTCCTCCTTTACCCAGCTCGGGACTGGCATGACTAGTTGGGGGGTGGTGAAGGCGGAGTTACCTTGGAGGCCATGCCTTCGAGAGGCACGTTTAACTTTAACATGAGAGAGAGAGAGAGAGAGAGAGAGAGAGAGAGAGAGAGCTCGTGGT